CAAGTTTTCTGCTGTATAGTTGACGTCAAAAATCTTTAAAGGTGATATTCTTGATGTGTTCTATCCAACCATGTATAATTCGACCAGATTCATTTTATCACTAACCTTTTGAATTTCCGGCACCTTACCTCTAGCCACTCCTGTTTTATTTTTATCAACGATCTGGTATCTTTTGCACTGAATATAAATATTTCTGGGTTAAATTGAAGACGGGTATTGACTCTTCTTTCGTCGATATATTCTTGAAGAATAAAATGTGTATTTGTTCCTCCTTGGCCTGACGCGTTAAGTGCAGCACGGCGGGGCTGATTCCAGCTCGGCCGTGTTATCGCTATTGTATTCACTTGAAATGGTGGCTTCGTTTGAGCTATTAGTGGACTAAACCGTGTAAAATTAATGTTGGCGGAATTTATGTGTGCTCACATATGCTGTTATCTCGCTATTGGCTACACCGATTCGTCTCATACCTTTGATAGTTACATCACCGTCAAGTCCTAGTTTCCGTCGTATGTCTGTACCGTTTCTTCACATCGCTCAAATTCTTATTGCGGCTACCGGTCCATTCAGCATAGCGCTTGTATCCCAACTCTCTTGTATGTGGTTTGCTTCGCATGAACGCACATGCGCCACCACTGCTGCCATTCTCGGTTTAAGTGTAGGCTGTGCTGCTGCCTTTCTCATATCCCCTCATTTCATCCCTGCTCCTAAGCGTGTTCCTCACTTGCTCTACATGCACGCCGATCAGGCACTCGTTGCCTGCGTGTGTGCAGTGATCTGCTTTCCATCTGAACCGCTAACGCCTCCGTCCATCGCTGCTCATCTGCTTATGGCAAAACCAGAAACTGGAGAACGACCGATCGAAATGTTGAAGAGATTTGCTCGTGATATTCTTCATTGTTGTCTTGATGCGTCGTTCATTCTTCTTGTGACATAGGGTACTTTGACGGGTGGCACGTTCGCTGCATGGACTGGACTGTTTGCTACTATTCGCACGCCAATCGGATACACACAAACACAAGCAGGTTAGTCTTTCATTACATGGAACAGTCTTCAAATACCATCGTTTCTCTCTTTCGTAGACTGGTTTAGTTTTGGCATGTCAATAACCGGCATCATTGGCGCCTCAGCCATGGGTTATCTGGCTGATCTACCACGATTCCAGCGTTCCCTTAAATTACTCATGCTCATTGCTCTTATTTGTTGACTGAGCTTGATAAACAAAAGGTTTTTCTAAAATTGATTTGCCTCATCAGTAGGAATCAGTCAAAATGACGCTAATTTTTTTTTTCAACAATTATCTTCATCCATGTTTTATCAGGTACACGCAAACTCTTGGCTGTTTGTTAGTTGTATTACGGAAACAATAACTTATAAACTCCTTTGATCTCAGAATATCGGTTGGTTAGCTTAGGACCGTCTGAGTAGCAAATTCAGCCTATAGGGAAGCATCACAGAAAGTATTTATGCTTTGTGATTCGGACATTATTTTTCAAACAAATTAATCGTGTCTCCATGGGATAATTATAATTAAATAAGCATTTCGATAATTTAAAGGCATTTGCTTGAATTAAAATATAAATATTCATAGTCAGGTCGTTGAGTTCGTTTGAATGATATATTACATGAAATCTTATAACTCAATAGCTTACATAGTAAGATCGTATTTATTTATCAACGAACAAAATAATAAGACATTTAATAAAAAGAGAATAACATAATAATTAAAAGTTATTTTTATTATATGGTAATGTTTTCAGCTTAATTAATTGTTTTTTAATATCAACATTAAGTATAACTTTCCACTTTTTACTTGTCCAAAAATGTGTTTCAAATTCAGTTGATAATTCTGATATGTTAATTGGTTCATGAAATGGAACAGTTATATTTAAATGTAGTTGAAAGTGAGAATGATATGCATTACGATGAAATGATAATAGGTTTTTCCAGTTTTCAGCAATCAACGAATCTAAATAAAAGTCCCAATTAAACTAAATCCTTAGTGTTTAAAAGTTTGAGATTTGTGTGACACTTGAGCTATGAGCCTCATGATCTCAGCTTCTGGAGCACCTAGCGAAGATCTGTAAACGGATTCTTAATCAGACCGATCCGCCATTAAACCATTTCTTTGTCAAATTTTCGTTAGGTCAATAGGGGAGGGGGGCTCACAGGACAAGAAAGAATATTTACTATAACAGAGAAGCGATAGCCGTCGCAGCGCACGGGTAGTGTACTAGTCCGAATTATAAACATTTACCTATTGATGCAGTAGATAATGTTATATATAATTTATCTCTTGCTTGAACTGTTTTGATTAATAATTCAACAAATTCAAATGGCCGTCCTCTAACATCTAATTTCCATACATCAAATGCCATTAATGAGCCCATTGATATTTCACTTTGTAGTGTTCTTAAACGAATAAGATCATCTCGATTTAATTTATCTGTCTGATATGGAAACGTTATTGATAAACAATCAATATTTAAAACAAAACGATCTAATTTAGATAAAACATCAACACTACAACAATCAATTGTAAATTCTTCTAGATGAAATGATTTTTGCCAATTGATTATATCATCAGTATGCAATGATGATAATTGTAAAGATGTTAGATGAGGAATGGTACTATCTGAGAATAATAATTCCATTATCAATCGCCGATCTTTATCCGTTCCTGAAAGAAAGACAAGCAAATCTATTCAAGCGTCAAGGAAGAAAATACTCTCAGGAACGATAAAAACATCAGAAAAGTACAGACCTGCAGGCTTGATTTTTTTCAGTCCAATCTTTTATCTCTCTGACGAGGGAACCTTCCCAAGTGTCCAACCCCTTTTCCTTAAAACATACACAATTGTGGGTGATCTTTGATGCTGATCACGAATCGGATATCCGTTTTTGCTGCTACGCCTTTAAGGAGTGGGTCTCTGGAGTGCCGAAGATCCACTATGAACTTCCAGCTGAATATATTTGGCACTGCCAGATTGTAGAGCACATTGAATTACCTACGTGGGGAATTTTCAGAATCAATGAACAAGTTTTCGCAGAGATAGAAAACTTTTACTTTCTATTCCAGCAGGGAATCAAAATATTTCAGGCTTTTGAATGCTAAACGTTTTTATCTCTGCGAAAACTTGTTCGTTGGTTCTAAACATTTTCCCTGTGAATTCCTCACAGGTAATTCAACGTGCTCTACAATCTGGCAGTGTCAGAATGTGCTCAGCTGGAAGTTCATAGCTAGTCTTCGGACAGTCATATTTCCTAACCTCATCCAGGTCTCGTTCGCTACCGAAAAATTCGTGATCGCCTTAGGAACTTTTTTGGATCAAACTAAAGTTGCAGATGTCTAAAGAAAGATATGTCAGCGTCCAAACTCGGATTCAGGCCAATCCAGGATTGGTCTAGGCGAAATTAACATCTTAGTTTGATCAAGTCTAAACTACAATCTCACATTCGCCTAGCTTTTTTCTAGTGCAAACTGTGATCTCGGTTTGAACCAGTCTAAAGTTGGATTAAAAAGAATATTTCAGTCCAATCTCGGATGGACCTGAATTCTCAAGACCAATCGAAGATTGAACTAGGCAAAAGTCAGATTCATCTGGTCCTCATATCAAACCCAGATGACTTGTTGATAATTACAAATTTTAATAAAGATAGATAAGAACTCTTTTGCAATATTATGTTCGCATTTTTTTGTAATTGTTTAACATGGGCGATAATTCACAAGAAATGACACTGGAATATAATTTACCAACAGTTATTATTGATGATGATAATGGGCTAAAAACGCTACTGTAATCAATGATGAATCTACAACCTACACACGTGATGGGAGGACTGAGCGAATTTCCTAGACTTAGAAATTATCGCTTGTCCTGCTATTCTACTATTCTAAGGAAAAAAAAATCCTACACTTGAACCCATTAATCATGCATTCATTGCCAATTAGCTGTATTCATCGACCTTACGCCCATAGCGCAATACAACAATAGCACAATAGAACAACAACACATAACTTTTCTATACTTCTTAGCATTGGACAAGCAGCATACTTGAGGGTATTACTGATTCGCTATCTGCTTATAAATTCTTCGTACAGTTACTGCTCTACGAAGAAGATATGATTTTGTAAAGATCTCAGGAAAAACCGTTTGGATTTCAATATTTGAAACAGCAACGTATTTGTTTTGTTACATACATAAATACTCTCCAGTGTCCTCTCAAAAGCGGAAACCATCCCTGAATTTGAAAGTTTATTTTATGCTCAAGATAACATCTCGTGACAAAGGAAAGCACAAAAAAATTAAAGGCTTGTAAATACAATGCCACCACGCAGAAAAGAGAAGAACCGCGAGAAGAGAGTATAGAAGAAGAATCAATAAGAAAAACAAGTAAACAGACAAGAAAAAAACACACACACTTATATGGATAGGTGAGCGCGTAATGCTCGTTTGAACGTAGTAACTGTTTGACAAGATACAACAGCATTTGGCAGGGAATTCCAGTCTACAGCGGTATGATAGAAAAAAGAAGAAGCAACTTGTTCTTTCGATCTGGAGACTTCATGCAACATGGTTGTTTCATCGCATCCTGGGAGCACCAAGATTGCTCTCCTCTGGCTCCTTATAATCCCATAAACTAAAAGTTAATAACTCGGTCAAAATCGATGCAGACTACTTCAGATCATGAAGATACACTCAGTTTTTTATCCTATACTCTCGAATTCAATGAAGGTTTAAAAATCAATAAAAAGTACGTGGTGTTTTGAAAAGACTTTATGAAAATGTTTGGAAACAGCGAAGATTTTATACTAATCTTAAGTAGAGAATCAGGTTGGCGTCAGGATTATCAGGAGTCAGAGGAGAGCAGTTCTAGCCCTGCCAGTAAACTTTATGCGACACCACATCCATGTTCAATGAAGACTTCAGACTCTTCCGTTTTTTAGAGGGCACTGACGACTATTTGTCTCTGTAAAAAGGAAAATCCGTTGCTAATTCAAATTTTGAAATCCAAAAACGGACTTTCCTGAGGCCTTTCCAAAATCCTATCTTCTAAAAAAGGTTTCCACTTTCTATGTTACAAAGCACTATGCCATTGAGTTCCATTTAGAATAAGCTTTTCTTTGATATATCAGGTTGGCAAGAAAGTTATTGCGTTTTTTTGGAAAATTTTATTTTTATTTTTTAACTTCAAGAATAGAACTAGCTTTCAACAATGTATGCTCCATTACTATCTATGACTTGTCGCCAACGCTGTGGTAGAGAAAGGATCCGGCATTCGTAGAAGTCCTGGGACTTTTGGTCGAAGAAGTTGACGAGGTCCATTTTGAGATCGTTCTTGTCGTCTAATTTTTTCTCGCGTAAATAGTTAGACAGAGAACAGAACAAGTGGTAGTCTGTGGGAGCCAAGTCTGGAGAATAAGGTGGATGTGGAACCGTAACCCATCCGAGCTTCAATAATTTTTCACGCGTCGACTTTTCAATGTGAGGTCTGGCATTGTCATGTAAAAAATAAATTCTATCTTGCTTCCCCTGGAGTTTCGTTGCAACTCGGTCTAATTGCTCACAATAGAAATCAGCAATGATGGTACAACCAGTTGGAAGAAGTCCCCAATGAATAATCTCTTTTACTCCCCATCAAACACTCAGCATAATCTTCTTTGGGTGTAGGTCATTTTTGGGCGTTGCTACACCTGTTTGTCCAGCTCCCAGCCACTGTCGCTTGCGCATGTGGTTAACATACAACACCCACTTCTCATCACCAGTAATAAGATTGCGGAGCGATTGGAAGTTGCGGTGAGATGTCATTAATTCCATACAAGCATCAACCCTGTGTTGAAGCTGATGCGATGATAAATCATGAGGTATCCAAACTCCATATTTCCACGTTTTGCCTAATTCAGCCAGATGTGTTTCCACTGTAGTATGAGAGCACCCAAATCGCTCTGCTAAACACCGTGTAGTCAATCTAGGATCTTCTTCGATAAGCTGCTTTAAGACATCTATATCCACCTCTAGTGGTCTTCCGGAACGAGGTAAATCGTCGAGTTCGAAGTTACCGTTCCTGAACTGATTGAACCAATGTTGCGCTGTAGGAATGGAGAGTGCATCCTTGCCCATCGTGCCGTATATCATGCTTGTTGCTTCCGTTGCTTTGTGAAAACGGAATTCATGAAGCAGAAGTACTCGGAGCTCTCTACGAGATATGTTCATTTCTAATTCGAGATCAACCTCCATATCCATAGTTTTGTTGTGTTCGAAAAATATTCCTAAATTATTCCTAATCCTTTATATACCCTTAGTATGGAAACTTCTAGAACTTTCTCGGCTGTTATAGGAAATTTAAAAAAAAACGCAAAAACTTTCTTGCCAACCTGATATAACAAATATATGAACCTGTGATGATGTAGGCTGTACCCCAGAAAAGCACTGTTGTATTATTCTCCTATCCTACTATTCTAACATTCCACTATTCTAGTCTTCTACTATCCTACTATTCTAATACCTACTATTCTTATATCCTGCTATTCTAGTATTCTAATATTTTACTACTGTGGTTTTTTACTATTCTAATTATTTCTATCCAACAACTTAATTCTTAACATAACGAAGTAATGCAAATTATGCACTACTAATATGACTTAAAATGTTCTTCTATTCTACTTAGAATCATACAATTCTAACTGCCCAATAGAATCTAGACCAAGTGAAAATTTCTATCTAACGGAGATTCGCCCAGCTATGCGTGCTGGTAATAACAATAGCAATGTTAATAGGAAAAAAATATTCAATGCTAAAGTTGAAGATTATAAAAATGATCTGTCATTATCAATAACAGAAAAATCAATGATGTCATATCCGTATGCTAGTAGAATTATTAATGCGTTAAAACATGAATCAGCTTGAAACAGGAAGATGGAATAGGTTGTAAATTTCATGTCTGGTGTCATCAATATTTCAAAATTGATATTAGTTCTGGGCTAGAAAACCAAATACATTCCAAGACATTTTTAGTTTTGCACTGATAATCTTTTTGTTTCAGGATTGATTTTTCTTGTTAAAATCGACTCATTTTTGAACAAGAAAAAAATTCATACACATTACTACACTTTAATCTAAGTTTGGCCTGAAGCAAAATGAATCTGATTTTTGCCTAGTTCAATCTTAGATTGGTCTTGAGAATTCAGTCCAATCTCGCATTGACCTGAAATTCTCTTTTTAATCTAACTTTTAGACTAGATCAAACCGAGATTCTAGTTTGGACTAGAAAAAAGCTATAACGAAAGTGGACTAGGTCAAACTAAGAGCTTAATTTCATCCAGGTCAATCCTGGATTGATCTGAATCCGAGTTTGGACGCAGACAGATACATCCGTTTAATTATTCTCAAGCTGACAACGCCTTATCATAAGATAAGAATTAAAATAACTTTTTATACAACCACTCTTTCTACACAATGGTGCAATCAAGAGTTTTAAGTTCAATCTAAAAGATAATTTCATCCATGACCACTTCCAATTTAATAATTTTTTTTTAGTTCCTATCTTTGAAGTGAAAAGTTCTTTCCCTTTTTTAAAAATTCGAATAGATCAGCTGATATTTTTGTTAGAACTGATCACACATGTGTCTGATCTCTTCTCTCACTTTAGCTGCAAGACTAAAACGAAATCAATAGTGTCCTGTACAATATGAGATCAATATCAGCTATCTATCATCTTTATTTAAAATGAGCTATGTGGTTTTCTAAAGTAGATAGATTTATTCGATTTTTGGTTTTTTTTATGAAATATTTTTTACGTTTATTTGAGAAAGAATACTTCATTTCTGCAATTTCTTACTAAGCCAGTATGTATTAAAAACTGATGATAATTTTTTTTACCTGGTAATACATAATCACACCATGATATTTTTAATGATTTCACATATTTTAATTTTGGTATAATTAATTTTAAATCAGAATATAATGCATTATTCAATTCAAGTGTGACTAATTGTGGATAATCAATGAGATTACATAGTAAATTAAATACACGAATTTCACCACAAGCTGATGCATTTGTAATTGTTAATTTACATAATTTATCATTTATTTGTGGTATAATTTGTTTACAATAGTGTTCAATTTTCATTATTGGCATATTTGTTAAATCAAGAGAAATAAAATATTTTGTTCCAATAATAGATTTAATACGTGTATTTAAATTATAAAATGAATAAATAATATCAAATGAGGATAATAAATCAAATATTTCTAAGAATAATTCATTGGATAAAGCTTCTAATGATGAATGACTAGACATGCCTTAAAGTAGAAAATGGATCGATCTTAAACACTATGTAATAATCTATTCATTAGAAAATTACGTGCAAGCTCCAAAACTAAAGTGGCATAGGCAGAATTTCAAGACTAATCCGACAGCGGACTTTTTATCATTCTATTTTGAGTTTTTTATGTGTCGCCACAGTTTTTATAATTTGTTATAGTAAATTTTGGCTTTTTTACTGCTCTGTCACCTCTTTTCTTCTCTCTTTCCACATTTCCATGCGCACATTTTCACTCGTTTTTCTCTTTTATATATACAACACATTCAACCATCGAATAACACTTAAAACAAAATGTATTGTAAGTTTAGTTTCTTTTATCTGCTACTTCTGAAGGTCAAATCAAGCAGAAACAGTGATAAACTCAAATTTTTACATGAAAATATCTCTATACTAGCATTAATAATTTCCTTTAATCAAGACAATTGCTCATACTACTTTCTTCAGTAACAAAAATCAAAATTATACCAAAGTGTTCTATGACATTTTCTATTGCACGGTTCAAAACAAATAGAATGAGGTGCGGAAGTCAGGACATTTTAGTATAATTTTGATTTTTTTGGTGAAAAAGCTGTGACGACACATTAAAAACTCAGAATAGAATTATAAGAAGTTTACTGTCGGATTAGTCTTGAAATTCTGCCTGTATCACTTTAGTTTCATCAAGTTTGATCCGGCGTGGAGCTTGCACCTAATTTTCTAATGTGAAGATGCTAATTGTTTATCTTAATTAAATTCTCATATTTCTTCTCAAAAAATATACGAGGATTTTTATTCCATTTTTCACTATTTTGTAGTCCATGTGCATTGAAATGAGGGAATAAACGTATATAATATTTCAAAGACTCATTC